ATTTAGTCAAACTACAAAAGTCCCCATAGTCTATAACAGTCTCAATAATGTTTAAAAGTTCCAAGTTCAAAATCTCTTCTGAGATTCATGTAATCTCTTAACTGTAATTTGCTATAAAATCAAAATAGAAAAAACAGATCACATATTTCCAACATATAATGGCACATGATATATATTACCATTCCAAAATGTAGGGAAGAGAACACAGTGAGGAAATATTGGACCAAAGCAAGAACAGAAACCAGCTGGGCAAACTCCAAACTCTGCAACTCCATATCTGATGTCTAAGAGCTCTTCACATCTCTAACTCTTTTCAGCTTTGTTAATGGCAACATAGTTCTTTCCCTTGGTCTCTAGTGTCAGCACGTGACACAGACCTCAGTATGGTCTCTAGGCAGTACAGACCTCTGACATTGCATGGGGCATGGACCCCCATCATAGCCCTCAGCAGCAGCACAGACCATGGACATCTGCATAACCTTCAATGGTACAACAGGCCATGGATATCAATACAGATGTTGGCTCCAGTAGGACCATTGACTCAGACATGATCCTTGGCAGCAGCCCAGACCCAAACATCTCCATGGCCTTAGGTGTCAGTGCAGACCACCCACATCAATATGGCCCCCAGCAGTTGCATAGCCAGAAGATATCAACATCACTTCAAGCTGCAGCACAGACTACAGACATCCTCATGGCCTTTGGTGGCAACATGGGTCACAGAAATCAACACAGACTTAGCCTGCCATAGGGCCACAGACCCAAACATGGCCCTCTGAGGCAGCCCAGACCTGAACATTACCATGGCTTCAAAAGGCAGCACAGACTACCCACATCAACATGGCCCCTGGCAGAAGCACTGCTCACAGACTTCAGAATGGCCTTAGATAGCTTACCAGACCAAGGACATCTTTCTGGTCTTGAGTGGTATCTCTGGCTGGGATATCAACCTAGCTTCCTGCTGCTGTAAGACCATGGGTACCCACAAGAACCTCCAGCTTCATCAGGGCCTGGGGCAGTGGATCATAGGTACTAAAGTGGCCTCTAGGGCCATCATGTGTCATAGTGGTCGTTTGAGAAGGTCCAAATGAGAAAACGAACCATTCTTCATCTTGGAAATCCTGTCATTTCTCAGAACCAGGATGATTATGCGGCTGGGAAGCTCTTGAGGGGCTGGATGAGAATATAAGCTCCAGACTGATGTATACAATTCTGTTGGCCCTATTCAGTCATGACATGTTCCCCCATCCTCTGAAACCTTCTATCACAATTACCACCACTGTTGAGTCTCTAGTTCCACTTTTCTTCACCACTTAATCACCACTCCATTCCTCTATTTTCCCACCTCCCCTGAAAATATTCATTCATCATAGTGGCATTGGAAACTGTAGTATATTACATTATATATATATATATATATATATATATATATATATATATATTTGCACAGACAGCTTTGCAAGCAAATATTAGTCTATGTTTCTGGTTTCTGAAGCAGCATAAATACTGGACCATTGCCAAGATACTGGTTTCAGATATTCTGCTGTTGTCCACAGTCAAGGTGATGTTGCAGCTAGGCAGGGCATCTTGGGGCAGGTTCTGTGCAAGCTCCTGGCTGTCACATACTTTTCTGCCCTCTATGTCTGCCACCCCGAGACTCATCAGGCTTGACCTTTATGCTTGTAGCCTGCAGACAGCTCTGTTACCCAGCACTCTCCATCCCCCAGCAGGGCAAGCACTTCAGGCTGCAGCTGCAATGGCTCCATACTGGGGGTTGACTGTCCTATTCAGTTATGACGTATTTCTGAGTGAGAGCCAGGACATCTCCCTGTCATAGGTGCTGACCACTGGACAGGATTTCTGTGCTTGTTGCCTGTGGGGCAAGCAGCACAGGTCACAGCTTCAGTGGCTCCATGCCAGGAGCTGGCCAGCGGGCCTAAGCCTGGCCCCATTCCCAGATTACAATTTCTAATGAAAGGATTTGAATAGTCAGAAAGGTAAGAAATGTGAATCAGATTAAAGAATGCCCCATGTGCAATGGGATGTAGCAAGTGATCTGAGAGGCTGAGATTTCTGGTGGTGACTGCTGGGGGACTCAAGGGGATATTTTAAGAGTGTTATAGAGGGAATGCTGGTAAGAGTTTACTATTCTCACCACTGACTCCAAGTGGTATAAAGGTCAGGAGGATTAACCAGGGCCTCATCAAGGAACTGTTGGGTAGGCTGTGGCAACTTGATTTGACTTCAGAACAATGGTGGATATCTGGGCAGGGGAATAAGATTTATCTAACAAATAAGTTACAGAAGCTGATTATGTTCTTAAAAGGTGAGTTGGACTCAGGATGTCAAGACTAGTCCTTGACTCCTCTTACTACCACATGGATACTCTGATAGAACATGAGGAGATGAGCATGGCTGCTCTACTTTGGTACATGGACAGCTAGTATCTGTGGCTAGATAAAGAGAAAGAGGTATCCATGGAACAAAGGAGGAAGTGGGCTGAGTTTCCATCTGGATTGACAGTGTCTAGTAAAGGGACAGCAGAGGTAAGTAAGACAACATGATTTATGACTAAACTGATTCAGAAGCAGAAAACATTTAGACCTAGAGGTATGTAACAGACTCTAAGACATTAGGAAATCATACTAATTTGGAAGAAGACTCTTTTTCTCTTACTATGCTATATACATTGACTGAATCTATTACTATATTGCAAGGTACACTAAGGAAAGTTTTTATGTTTTGTTCTCAATTTTTTCAAGGTTTGATCATTTATTTGTTACTGTTAAAGATTCTTAATTTTGACTGCATTCAGATTTAGAAGGAGAAACTATTCCTTGGATTGGTGGCATGTGTCTTTAATCTCAGGATTTGAGAGCAGAGGCAGGTGGATCTCTGAGTTTAAAGCCAGCCTGGACTGCAGAGTGAGCTCCAGGCCAGGCAAGGCTACCTACTAAGATCCTGTCTCAGAACAACAACAAATGAAGCAAAAGCTTTCATTGAGGACTATCTATATTTCCAGGAAATCTGTTGCAGGTATTTTTCTTTGACTTTCTTTGTTCTTTTATACCAAAGTTTCATTTGTTTTACAGCCTCTGCCTCACTTTTCTTGGTGTGTTGATTTTTGTTTTTTTTTTATTTAGCAATTTAATAGTGTTTTTGTTGCAGGGCACATGTAGTAAAAGACAATGAATGTTGGGAGCTTCAATCTAGGCTTCTTACCTTAAAGGCTTTTTGACACAACACTGAGGGAAACTATCTTCTTTAGAGAGATTGAAAAGTGTACATATTCTGCTAGCTCTTTAGAGCCTCAACTGGAAAAGTAGAATAGTATCTATCAGACCAGCAATCAACTCTCTCTCTCTCTCTCTCTCTCTCTCTCTCTCTCTCTCTCTCTCTCTCTCTCT